AAAAAAAGAGACGATGGGTGTGGATATATTTTGGCAACATCAGCACTCATCCAAATCCACTCTAACTTCGTAGCTCATACGTTTGAATATCTGTTAAGATGCTTAATCAAGAATATTGAAGGTTTTTTTATCTCCCAATTTTGTTTGACACTTCTTTTGAAACACATATCGACCATCAGTCACCTATCCACACACTCAATAGAAGAAATCGAAATACAAACCATTTGATGAAACCCGCTTCAGTAAGGCCTAAATCGCTATTATGGTGGCTCTAATTTTCATCCCTTAATGGGAATTCTTTGGTTTCGAGCTTTCATGTAGTTGTTGACGGGTGATTCGTTGATTTTTTTTTATCGAAAGACATTGCAACGTAGATGATTAAGGCGTTAAATAACTCTATATCAATCATAACTGGGCAGAAACACATGGTATGGTTTGCTAATTGTTTGTCAATAATGCCAAGACATTAAGTTTAGGGTTTCATAATAATGCAAAAGTATGAGTATTAGCATTAGTTAATATCAATAGTAATGTTAAAACGACATTCCTAGTTTCAGCAACTTTAAGATAAAAACGAAAAAAAAATCATTGTTTCGATGATGAAATCAATATAAAAATTCATCGATTTGATTCGATTGTTTTCTTTTTCTCAGACATTGGCAATCATCAAGTCAATTTACAGAAATAGATCTTATCTAGATTGTGTATTAAATCTCATCAACTATCATGATTAACATAAATAACACTATTAATTTGTGAATAACTTCTGTTGTTCATTCTACAACAACTAGAGAAAAATGTTATGATGAAGTATTATATTTAGAGGCAAAAATCGTAAAATGAGGATTAGTACTTTATCGATGAGTGAAAATGCTGGTATTGCTTAAACAAGCATTGAATCTTTTTTTCAACTATATGGACGTTTTCGGTTGTCTTGTACGTTTTGCAAAAAATACTTGTAAACATTGCCACCAATGATATCACTTTCATTTACATTCGATAATTACTTAGGGTTGAGTTGTCAATACTCCTACTCTATGCTGCCCGATACTCTCAGCATGAATATTTCATGCTGCAAGATTTTCTGCATGTCAGACAGGTACATGTGACTGGTTCAAGAGGACCTGCAATGTATCTTAGCACTCTCGGCAATGAGAGTTTGAACAATTTGTGTTTCCTCGTCAGTGAGATCACCCACCAAAAATTTAGGACCGGACGCTACTGAAATGGCCACAATCATAACTGCTAAATTGAGAATATTAGCAAGTTCAAGGTAGGTATCAAGCAAGAATGTACTATAATGAGGAACAAGACCAAGTTTGACGAATAACTTTTCTTGTTTAGTAATGAGATGTTCACCATTAATACAAGAAAGATGTTTCAAAAGTTCTAAAGAAAAAAGCACGATCAAGTGAAGTTCAAAGAATTTCGGGTTCAATGTCAGGATGAGTCAAATCATTTTCATAGTACAGACAAATACAATGTCCTTGTACTGTTTGAAACGGCTCTTCCTTTGCATTGATCAACAGATGAACGAGAGATTTGCACAATTACAATCACTGTCAGACGATTTTCATGGGTCGAAACGAGATTGTTTGACCAATCTAGAATCTACAATGAGACAAGTGATTTTTATTGTCAAATATATTTCAGCAATATTCGCACAAAAAATGATCATTCGACGACGTACACCTTCGTTCAAAATTATTTTCTACATTTGATTTGTACGATAGCTATCAGTTTTTAGAACGAAGATCTCAAATTTGAAAAAAATTGATTAGTTTCATAATGTTTCGATATCATTTTCATAGAAAATTATTTTAAAATTATTATTCATGTGAACATAAGTATTCTGAATCATATATTAATATCATGAAAATATAGAGTAACAAATAAATATAAAATAATTTATTCGTTGTATTGATCTTGATGAGAATGTTATTCATAGAAAATATTATTTTATTTTTAGATGAATATACAATTGAAAATCTCGAATGTTTATTTCGACATGAAAAATTTGTTGTAAAAAACAAAATTAATAGATTTTCAATAGAGTTTGAATTTTCTATCGAATTTAATCATAATTAAAAATCAAAATAATTTTCTAAATATGTCAGCTATAGACAAAAAAATCATCTATTTAAGCTGAATTACTTATTATTTTATTTTCTAATAGATATAATCTTAACATTGATATTTCTCTTATTCAAAAAAAAAAATTATTCGCTTTTTTTTTTTCTCTGGTTTTAATAAAAGTGATGAATTCGTTCGTATAAAACCTATGGAATTCAATATCGATAAATATTATCAATAATCTGCATTCTTTTTCTCGCTTTTTCTTTTTGCATCGACACAAAACTTAAGTCAATATTTGTTATAATAATATCTATGTAAAAAAAATTGATAAATCTCATCGCTAAATTTAAACTTCTTTTTTTTTTTGTTTTCTTCTGAGAACTATATTAATAATACGTATATAATGGGTTAAAGGAAATAACGTGTACTAACATACGAAGATAAAGGTATGTAGGTCTTATTTTAAATATGACATATCTATTTTATATGACGATAGTTAAATAAATATACAAATGACGCTTATCTTGATAAAACACAAAGAAAAACAATATACTTTGATCTTATTTATTCATTCTAGTGGATTATAAAAGCTTCAGGTAACTTATTATTATTTTTTAATTATTACACAATTTTTCAAGGTAATATAAAAGTGTATTTAAATAAATTTCGAGTTAGTTTATTTTGTTTTGATTTATCAAATGATTATCTATCATTTGAATATATATTTCTATTAGCACTTCCACTTTTCGTGTTTTATTAAATGAATAATTAAGAAAAGACTTGTAGATCGTCATCCAGTAATAGAATTTCAATATGAAAAAGTATTTTATTTGTTAATTCTATGTTTTCGGTGATAGATTAACTTTCCTATTTTGAATTATTAACTAAATGAATTGATATTAAACTTATTTATTTTTAATTTAGATTATTTTATTTTGAAAAAAACAAACCACGAAATGATAAACCTACCCTTACATACAAATACAATTTATATACCAATGATTCAAAGTTAGTTATTCATTTTCTATATGATAAAATAATTATAATTGATATTTTAGCTGGTTGTTTAAAAGCTGAATATGATTCAACATATCCAATTCATTTAAATGGTATAATTAGTCAATATGAATTTCAAGAATCAATTAAGAAAATAAATCTTACAATGTCTTCAAATAAAACTTTTATAATTTTTTGTTGGATTATATTTGCATTGACATTAACTATTGGAACAGTATGTTTTGCTATTGGTGGAGTAATGGCAACTAAATCTTGGACAGTTTTTTATGCCTTACTTGGTATTGGCATTTTTATGACTACATTTGGTCCAATTTTTTTTACTATTGGACATTGTGTTACATATTCAAAACGTGCAACAAGAATACGAGAAGCAATTGCTCAAGAATCAATGAAATATTCATCAAGATCACCAACACCATGTAGTTGGAGATTAGATTCTTCAAGAACTTGGTTTGGACCTTATGGATATTATAATAATAATTATCAAATGTTTTATCAAGTATTACATTTGTTTTTTAATTATTATTTTCCTATTTCCTAAGAAAATTATTTAAAACTAAAAATAATCAAGAAAATATTTTCACACTATGAAGATAAATTTATATTAATTGTTTTTATTTTTTAGTTAGCAATAGATATTGGTAGTAGTGTTCCACAAGAAAGTGTTGATCGAGTACATTATTCAAATAAAGTTGCTCCTCAATCAACATCATATTTTGGACGTCAAGATAATTTTGCACCACCACCATATTCTATTCAAATGGCAGGATTTTGTTCTCGATGTGGTGTAGCACGTCAAGATCTTACAGCTAAATATTGTTCATCATGCGGTCATTCATTTAATACATAACAAATATCTACAGCCTTTTTTTTTCCTAATCTTCTACATACAATTTATGATCAAATCATTATTTATTTTATAGTATTTTTTTTTTTGTATCATGTGTTTTCGAATAAAACAAAGACAGATATATTCATCAAACTCTTCTTCTATTGCATTGTTAAAGTATCGTAAATATGATGCATTTCTTTCTTTTTTTTTTGGTTGACATCATTCTTTTGATACTTTTCTTGTTCTAATCTATTGACATACGAATGAATCAGTTTTCTTCATGTTTCTACCCAATAGATCAGCACGATAAGAAATTTTTTTCCATGAATATTAATTTAGAATCTTTTGATTATTATTAACGATAAAAGAAATAAAACTTACCTCTGAGAATTAGGGAAGTCGTAACTTTTTATTCGCCTGTTAGTTTTTATTACATGACGTTACTACCAGATAAATATAAAATGACGTATATTACCAACGAATGTATAAAAGAAAAGCGACATAAACTAATGTTTTTTATTCGTTTCTGCTACTACGTAAGTTCTCTTCAGTTATTTTTTTTCTTTGATTGTATCACCTTTACTATTTATTTCTTTTTTTTGTTTTATTTGAGAAAGCTTTTCGATTAAATCGTTTATTATATCTCTTCAAAAACTTCTTAGTCAATCTATTTGCAAAGTTTCAATCATAAATGCTTCAGATATTGATGAGAAAATTGTAATTCTACTTAATGTAATCGTTGATATTAAAATTATTTTAATTATTTGATGATCTCATAGAACATGGTGAACATTTCATTGACATCATGAGAAAACTATGTTAGATTTAAGTTTTTACAGTCTTCTCAGGGTCTTATATATCAGTAAGAGAATTCAGAATCTGACTTCTTATAAGCCGACATTTAGAGAGTCTTACTAATCTAATTATCAATATCTAAAAGTCGTTGATCCGATTTTCAGTCAAAAGTTTCCTTTCGAACGAGTTAATCATTTTAACGAAAATATTTTCATTTTTTTACAGTTCGTGGTTTCTAATGAATTTATTTTGATTTAGTTTAATTAAAAAAAACTTAAAAATGATTGATGTTCCGTTAAATCCAAATTCAGTTCATATACCATTGGTATCAGGTAAGTTATGATTTTTTTTTTTTTCTATTTTATAAAATGTTTATTATTGATATCTTAGCTGGATGTTTAAAAGTTGAATTTGATTCAACATATCCCATTCATTTAAATGGTATTATTAGTCAATATGAATTTCAAGAATCAATTAAGAAAATAAATCGTAGAATTTCATCAAATAAAAGTTTACTTATTCTGGCAATTTTGTTTGGTTTGAGTATAATAGGTGGAATTATATTTTTTATTGTTGGTGGAACAACAAGAGTTAATTCTCGTTATAAAAGATTTTCTGTGTTAATTGCTGTAGGAATTGCTTTGACTACTATAGGAAGTATATGTTTCGCTTTTGGATGTTTTGCAATACAATCTCGACGTATAGCACGCATGCGACAAGCAATTGCTGAAGAATCAATGAAATATTCATCAAGATCACCAATACCATGTAGTTGGAGATTAGATACTTCAAGAGTTTGGCTTCAAGGATATAGATATCGTCATAATAATCAACTTGTTTATCATGTAAGGATTATTCATTTATAGAGTAATTGAAAGTTTTTTTTATTTTTTAAGAATATTTATTGAATATTGTTTTATATAATATCGGAGAGAGAAAATGAGTATATAAGTTTTGTATTCATAGTCTATTTGGATAAACTTTTGAAAAAATTATTTTTGTTAATAAGCTTGTTTTTATTTGTTTCAGTTAGTCATTGATATTGGTCGTTCTGCTGCTCCAGGAAGTGTATTATATCAATCGAATCAAGTTGCTCCTGAACCAACATCGATTTATGGACGACAAGATTACTATGCACCACCACCTTATTCTTCTACATCAACAGGATTTTGTTCTAATTGTAGTGCACCAAAAAACGATTCATCAGCTAAATTTTGTTCATCATGTGGACAATCATTCAATAAATATTAAATTTTTCCTTTTTTTTTTAACCTCGAAATTTTTTCGTAATTTTACTAGATGGATGAACAGCTAAACGGAAAAAAAAGGAAAGTAAAAAATCATATATTGGGTATGTTAAGTATGATTAAAATTCGAGTGGATTTACTCGACATGGTACATTAGAAAATAATTGACGAAAAATTAAAAGAAAATATTCTGAAAAAATTCATATAAATTTATAGGCGTACTTTTTTTTTGTGAAACGCATATATGTCAAACTTTAAACTTGAATTCAAGTATTGAACTGTTCAAGAATCCTGCGAAACATCCGTAAGCGCTTTTTCCCATCTAACTGGCTTTTTATATCAGCATTGCGGCGTGGAAGTGCGAAGCGTTCACCGAAGAGCCTGTGTACATAGTAATCAAAGTATGTCCTATTTTAAGTATGCTAGCAATCACTTCTCGGGAGCTGCTTAACCATGCTATCATCCCATGATCACTCAAGCATTTTAGATGCTTTTTGTAGCATCCCAGATAAGATACGTATCACTCCAGGTGCTTTCTGGAGTATCCACAGAGATCATTGTGTTTACGAGGTGATCGAAAAAGTAATACTCCTTCGACATAGTTCATGAAAGTAGACTTTTTTCGCGTTACGAGATTCATGGGAAAAGAAGTATTCATTGGAGCTAGTTGCCAAAAATCAATCGGGTTTTTGAACAGCGAACTATCACATGTTTTCTCCGTCGGCTATTCTGACTGATATTATAGTTGATTTTAATAAGTTAATTGATGGTGTCTCAATGAGGCATAAGAGTAGTTCCATAGTGTTAAAATTATTGTTTGTCACTAATTCTCATTGTTTATCTTTTTCATTGGTATTAATATTATATCGTTGCACTCTCTGATTACCGACAACTCATATATGCTTCGTGAACTTCATCATTGTATGATACTAGCACCAATCACTCATAATGCATAGTTTTTTATATACAAGGAGATAAAAGCCAATGTCGAGCAACAGAAGAGAAGCTCCTTACATTATCATTTGTTTTGTGAAAATAACAGTATCAAGATGTTCTTTTTAATTCATAGTTATAATGCCTTTTCTTTCTTTTGTTGGTAATCAAAGATTTAATGAAAGAACAGATAAAGTACTTTATATTACTCCTTAGGAGCGAGGAAATGTAGCCACTGTACTTATTTTTAAAAGCTTTAATCATTAATGCCAAATACTTTTCAGATTCATCAAACCATAAATATTCAAGTATTAGAAAACGAAAAATTATATCTTTTTTTTCAATAGGACTATACATATAGCATAATAAAAATAAATATATAAGACATTAGAATTATTGCTATATGATTATTAATTCTAAGCAAATTGTTTATTTTTTGAATAAATATGAAAATTTTTGACATCTAATAAAGTGTGAAGGTGATTTTGAGATACAAACAAAAATAAAGATTAAAAAAAGAATAAATGCTTTCCAATATCACTTTGATTATGAAAAATAAATAGTTGTTTAATATTGGCTGTAATAAGTTTATTTATTTAATTTATTATATAATTGTCCATGAATGTTTCTCTTCTTAATAAAAAATACTTGAATCTTGATATTTTTTCATGATTTCAATAACTTCTTCGTCTGTTGTTTGTGGAAATGAGTAATAACATTGTCCAACAGAACGAAAACCATAGGGTATTGCCAAACATATTATTTTATTAACAAAAGGACGAATCTCCTGGAGAATATCATTAGGACCACATGGAACAGCAACAATTATCGATGTGGCATTCAAACGCTTACATGTATTTATGGCTGATTTCATTGTTGCACCTACCAAGAGAAAAAAAAACAAATAACACCGATTATTAGAGCACAATTATAATCATTTTTTTTGTTAAAGAAATCAATGACATTCGAGGTCTTTATAGAAAACAACTGACTGGAATGTTAACCACACAAGGATTTATAAGAGAGAGAGAGAGAAGAGATTTGATGATGCGGTAAAAATCATCTCAATTGCTCTCCTGTTCGCTAAGCAGAATGAAATCGAATAGATGTCACAGAGAGTATAAAGAAATTATCAAAAAAAAAAAAGCGTAGTATCGTCATATTGTGTCTGAAGATGAGTTTTTCATAATCAACTGAAAGTTCACACAATTATCAAATATCTTCTATTTTTCGTTACTTCTACTGTTTTCATTGTCAATGTACGCAAGAGTTTTTCTTGACAATTTTATTGTTCATTGTTTTTTTTTGTCTATAGAATCCTTATATTTTATTCAATTTTTTTTTTCATAGAAGGCCTCTCTTTTTAAAAAACACAAAAAAAGTAGGTATCATGATTCTTTTTTCTTACTTATACAAACTGAACAAATAAAATCTGCAAAGCTTATCGATATCCACATAATTATGATTGTTGAAATTGTCAAATAACTGCAATTGTCAGCTTATAGGTATTTTCTATTTTTGTTCAAACCTTTGAAACAAAATGCATATTACTAGAAACATCGCTCTGTTTATGATCAGCATTAAAAAAAAACGAGTACCATACTCTTTCCTTTTTCAATGTGGAAATAAAACATTTTCTGTACGTCAGATTTATGTAAGACTTCTTGAAATAGTGTATTGTTAAAATAAAGAAAATCGCATAGTGTGTATCGGTAAACTACATTATATCTCGTATATTTAAAACAATACCTGTAGCTAATCCATCATCGACCAAAATGACCGTTTTTCCAGTTAAGTCATTCATTGGTTGGCGTCTTCCACGATAAACTTGTTTTCGTCGTTGAGCTTCAACAATTTGTTGATTTTTACTTTGTTGTACACGTGGATGATTAAAAAGACCATATTGCTTGGCATCATCATTCCAAATAACATCACCAAATTCCGATACAGCACCAATAGCAACTTCTGAGTGTCCTGGCAATGGAATTTTTCTTGGAAATACTAAATCATGAGTGATTCCCAGTAGTTTAGCAATTTCATCGCCAACAACTGTACCACCACGTGGTAAACTAATAACAATATATGAACGTTTTACACTTGGTGGTAATAATTTAATTCTTTGTAATTCACTATGAGTAGCTAATCGACGACCAGCATCAATTCGATCATGAAATGTAGTTGTTGCTCCATAGCTAGCCATCTTTTATATTAACTAAAAAACTAAATACTGAAAGTTGACACACATTCTATTTACACAATGAAGGAAGTCAAGTGTAATTCTCTGAAAAGAAAATATCGAATTCGTACTCTACGACCGAACAATCTTTGAACAATAATGCATATGTCAGTAAACAAGGACCGTCTTTTCTATTGAATAATAGAATACCATTATTAATTGAGTTAAAACTTTATCCACAATTCATAGTATTCGTTTAGCAGGTATTCGACCATGAATTTGTAGTAATATTCAAGCTGGTGTTTCCCACTATGAAAAAAGCGTTTCGCCTTCAGATATCATGTTATATCTGAAGATGAAACATCAGTTTGAATGTTACTACAAATTCACGGTCGAACACCTGCTAAACGAATACCTTCCAATTGAAAACACAACCTTTGCACGAATGCTTTAACGATAATGTTTTGTATATTGTCAATATTTAGTCGGTTTACATTATAAATAAATACGACGAATTTTGTTTTTCGCTTGATCACACAATTCGATATGGTAAAAAGAACGTTTCAATAAAGGTTGTTTTTTGTTTTTCATCAGTCACATTTCGATAATGCATTATCATTGATATGACTTAGTTTGATCTACGTATTACATATATGGTAAATAGAGTAAAAATAAGACACCATAATAGAAATGGCATTTCTAACAGAGATTGAAACCTAATGTGAGAAATAAATAAACAAAATGTTTAAAATTTATTCTAGAATTTGATAGACTTGTTTGTTGGTATTAATATTGATTTAATATTGTGCAAACAAAATCAAGTCAATTTTGAATGAAATATTTTCTTTAGTCTTTCATATCTATAAATTAACCAAAAAAGAATCAATATCGAATATTTCTCTCACATAGAACATAGTTTCAATGGATTAATTATTTATTGATAAATTAGTAAATATTTTAGTCGAAACCTTGTCTACTTTTATAAAATGATGCGACTTGTATTCAAGAGAAAAATTTTGATGATATCCTTCTGTAATTGTCTTAGCAAATGAAATATTATCTATTATATTGTGTAGAAAGATAATGTGTTTTTTTTTCTTTCATAATTATTGTGATCAATCGAGCGTATCAGTTAAACATTTATTTTGTATTCATCAATACAAAATGTTAAAAAAAATCAGACTAAAAAATACAACGGAGGATTTAGATGATGATAAATGATGAGAAGAAGAAGAAAAAGAAACAACAACAGATCATGATAGAGAAGAAGGGCGACTCATCATGATGAAACAAAACTCGTTTATTTTACATCACTAATATCAAATGAAAAATGTAATCGAGATTCTCAATTTAATGCATAAAGATGCTCATGTAAATTTATATAAAATATTCTTTTCTGCATATTCAAATATATTTCTAGACTTTTATTGATGAAACTAAATGTGTCAAATATGTCAAGTCTACAACGAATAAAGTATTTTTAATGAATTGATGGTGTACCATCAACAACTTTTATTGAAGCAAGTAAACCATTAATACAGATAGATTCTATATTTGTTTATTTTCCATTATCGTATGCTCGGAATACAATTGATCAAAAACAACATGGTCATATATTTAATTGATGTGAAAATGAAGCTACACTTAGTGATTCAATGAATAAATCTCCCAATGAACTTCATAAACAAGCAGCTGCATTTAGTATGTTCAATAAAAAAGAAAAAGCAACATATAATCTTTCAAAAGAACAAGATTTCTTTTATTTTTTCAATTATTTAAACATCTCTTAAAAAATATGCCCAACACATATGGAGCGAAAAAGACAATGATGATCATATGTCAAAACTATTATCGAGAAATTTCAACTGTATTAGTAAATATCGATGAATTTGATCGAACATATAAATCATCAATTGCTTATGATTATGCAACAGAATCTACTAAACGAGAAGGCTTTTTTAGGTGCTTTATTTGAATATTTAGTGTATTTAAATATTGTTCAGAATATTGTTATCACTGATTTGTTCGACAATATTCAGCATTTCCTGAAGAAGCTGAAGTTGTCTTCGATATCGATAAGAGAAAAAAATAAGCATTTTTATTTATGGATCAATGGAAATAGATTGAAAATATCTCAATGTTAAGTTTGTTTTTGTACTTGTCGTTCAATGCTTTTGAAAATGGCAACTGTTACACAAGGATAACATCAGTGATAAGTACAGAATAATGATTATACATAGAAACGGTTAAAAGATTTCAAGATTACGCAAATAGACAATCATTCTCATAACAGGAGCGAAGTTTTCATAATGAATGGGAACTAGAATCCATCGAGTTTAGAAATTAATCTTGATCATAAGAAATATTCTTGTATTGATGAAAAAAGATTTAAACGATATTTTTTAAATTGATCATAATAATCAGTATATTCAATTAGTGTTGATAAGTTACCCATTGTTGATGCTAAAAAAATTAGAAGAAAAAGAAAGAATTGATTTTGGTCTTCTGTTTCTTTTTATCAATTGATTTCCAAACAGTAAAAAGTATCTTCATCTTTATATGATAATAATAATTGCAGATAATCAACAAATGATTAATGACCAGCATTACATAAAGCAGCAACATCATCTTGAATCATAAGACGATCTTGTGGACTAAGTATTTTATTAGCTATTGCTTCACTTAAAAGTGCTAATGTTTTTGGTTCATATTTAACACAATAAAGACCAAGAGATTTATAATTTAGTTTAAATCAATCGTTTTCCGAAATATTATCAAATATTATTGTTATTTCAGATTGAGCCATTAATATTTGTTTTGGCAATTACTTTTGGATTTGATTTGATAAAAATAGTTATGGGAATATTCCATTGAAGATTTTCATCATCAGTACTACCATCAGCAATGAAGCGTTATTGTTTTAATTTGATAATTCGTGTTTGGTTTGGTTGTTGTTTTTCGGTTACAGTTACTAGTGGATAACCCTAGATAATAGAATAAACCAATAATGGATTTTATTTGTATAAATTGATGTAAATCTTGTGCATTCTTAAAATGCTAAAATGACTCCAGTTTATGCCTTATTCATGTGGAATTATGTCCGCTGTATTGAATTTTCATCTTATGAGAATGTTTTGAAAGTTTCAGTTAGAATGAATTTTTTTTCTTGACAAGATAATGATTGTCTGAATAATGGTTCGCTTTCATAGGAAGACGCTCCAAATCGACTTTGTTGGTGTATACGAAATCTAGAGAAGACTGTTCTTTGAGATAATATTTTTAGAGCATTTTCATGACTTCGTTATCTATCTCTAGACAAAATCTTAGGTTAACAGTTCAGAAGACAAGCTTTCATAAATGTCATAATTAAAAGAGAAAGATGTACTTAAGTGGTTACAATTCTATATGATTGAAGCATGAACACAGGCTCTTTTAGATTTCTTCTAGTCTTGCCAAATCCTATGCACAGATAAGATCTAAACTTGATCGATGAGTTATATTTGAAAACGTAGACATAACTGTTAATTATACCATCCATTAATTTTACGAGATTATAACCCAATAGGTAAGGATTACTGTTATCTCTAATCGTATCAAACGAAAATTCAATAACTATATAAGCAGAAATGTGAAATGAAACATACCATTTGAAGTGGCCATGATGACATAACTTCATTGACTGATTTATTAAATGCTTTAGACAAATGTGACCAAAGATTTACCGTAATTATATTTTTTATAACTATATTCTTTTAAATAATTATGAAGACCTTTTCGAAAAGCATCATCGCCAATATAATCATGTAACATACGAATTATGGAAGAACCTTTTGAATATGAACTTTCATCAAATATTTCCTCAATTTCAGTAGGATGTCCTAGAAAGAAAAGCAATATGTGTTGAAACAAAAAACAACATTCTATAAAAGATATTTACCAATAGGTACTTCAATTGAATGTGATGATTTTAATGCATCAGGTATAAGAAATGATGCAAATGTATCAGCAATAAATTGTGTCCAAATATCAAATTCTGGATAAAATTTATCAACATCTAAATATTCAATCCATGAGACAAATCCTTCATTAAGCCCTAAAATAAATTGAAAGCATATAAAAATTCTTTTCATTTTATTTTTTTTTACATAAATCAGCCCACCAATTCGTTGTCTATATATAAGAAAAAACAAAATTTAATCTTATTGGGTTGGTGTGAATGCCTTGATGAACGAAACAGATAAACTCACACACCAACTCACAACTACACCTTCACCCAAGCCCTACCCACACTCTCACACCACACCCACACCCTCAGGAAAGTACTGAGAGAATTAGCGATGTGAAAATTATACTTAATACATTTCCAAGTCCTTTTCACGAAGTATCACGAAACATGACGAATCCAGCATTACTGCATTTTTCATTTTGTCTTTATGATCTTGTTCGTATCCTTTAAATTCTGTTGTAAATTCGCAGTCGAGAAAGATTTGCATGAGATTGTTCTCATAATTATCAAAGATGACAAGTCATACACCAGCGCGAGGAAGTGCAATCATTTTGCAATCAGACGATGGCAACATTATTTTAACCGACTCAAATGGTTTCTTTGCAAAACTAACCACATATAAGACGCATTTGTATTGTATATGCATGACTAAGGCAACTGTATGTCGGTTATCTCGTATAACAATGATTTTACACTCGTCACTTTCGATTTTTACCCTTCTAACGCGACCCGAATTCGCTTCAGCAGGTATATCGCGTCCAGTCAGATAGGCAACAGTATATTGACGAACAAACTTGAAATCTGGTAATTGGGTGTGGGTGTGGTGTACTTGTCTTTTCATCGAACGCATCCACACTCACACCTAAAATGTAAAGCGAATTCAATAAATATAAAATTGACAAACAGATGATTATCACTTTCAAGTGAAAGACTTCGATGATTAGAATAGTGCGCTAAACATGGGTTGTATATCAATTGGAAATGTTATGTTACCGATCACTCCTTTTCTTCAGGGTCATAAAATAACTTATTGTACTCGATGTTGGTGTATTGAACACCTGAGAAATAAATGTCAAACATCATCTGCTCGTTATCATATATGCCTTGAAGAAATCACTGAGAAGCCAACCTACAACTATTTACAACAACGAAGGTGTGCCCAATTTGATGAAAATCATCACTTACTTAGTAGCCAATGTCAGAATATTAAAACATATAAAGCACATCTAAAAGAGAATGTCAATATTGCACTTTCACGTGGTTTTCTGCGTCGACTAGAACCTCTGAAGCAAATGCCAAATATCAATCCAGATAGCTTCTCACTCTTTTCACGTCAAATTCAATACGTCGTACCTATTTGGGGATCAAAGCAAATCCCTGGTCAACAATCAGCTGACAAAGTAAATGTCCTTACAGCACTCACTAAACAGTTAACTGTTATGATGGAGAATAATCCACGAATGGAAAAGAAACTCAAAGAAATGAATGTACGTTTTAATTATGAAACACAAGTTTTGGAATTATGACGATGGATCAATGTTCAACAAGTGTCCGTGATAGCTTTCCACTTATTTGCTATAGCCATTGTCGGCATATTCTTTGCTTCGAACATTTTTTTCAATAGTTATAATTTCCATCAATAAAAACTTTTGTGTCTAATGAACTTTTTTCCTAATAAATGAACTCAGCCTATTCCTACAGAACGTATTCTATAGGGTATATATGATCTCAAAATTGTATAAGAGAGCTCTATGGAGGAAAGATGATGTTCCCTTGTAAAACAAACGGTCAAAAAATATGGAAAACCCAAAGATTCTATACAAAATAGTCTTGTATGGCGATGATTTTCGTATTCAATGTTTGTTGATATAAAAAACTGCATATTTTTCTTTCAAACTGCATCAAACTCATCATTTTCTATATTGATTCGGAGTAATTTCTCTAGAGTAGATGTTATTTTCTGCGTAGAATTTTATATTCATTGAATAATTCAAAAGAAAATGTCCTCAACAAATTGTTTCTATAATACATCTTTTCTAAGAACAGCATAGTTTTGAAGCGATAACTATTCTTATCGCTACGACTTAGATGTCAGCAGTAACATCTACTGTCCTTTGATTACTTGTAGGTAATGCTTCATGATAAAAGTAAGCATAAAATCATCTATTATGCTTCGCCTTGAATGTAATAAATGTATGTAATTTTGATAACGGTTTGCCCTAACGGTAACCATGACACTGAGCAAAAGCGAAGAAGGTTGCACCGGTACTTTTATCATTGAATGGTTTACTCACATTTATGTTTTACACTGAGACGAGAATAGTATTAAGCTCTGTATACATTCTTGGATGTAGCCGTTGTACAAAATACTCGAAATCGGCATTCGAGCTGGATAAGAGTCGACAATCGATGAAGTGTGATGTATATGAGTTTGATTGAGACATTGTTTTTCTATTGACCTTGATCGAAATAATAAAAATATTGTTAACTCTTCAAAAGTACATAGAGATTTCTCTCCACAAATTGTTTATTTCATAATACTTATGTGATAAGAAACAGCGAAAAGATAAGAACAAAGACATGGCAAACTTGTGCAAATAACAATTTTATATCAATACTATTGCCGTCACTGCAAGTTAAAAGTATTAGGAGACAATTTCGCCTACAATTGAATGAATTATAGAGATCCCTAATAGAATGAAAAATTTACAAACTTCTCTTATTAAATGAATTTTTCTATAAAACTCAGTGATCGGATGGTTTTGAAATTTTCAAGGTTCCTGTTTGACAAGAGGTTCAACAAGATCGCTAACTATTACGAGCCGAAGTAAGTTTTTATTATCAATTGAATATATCAGGTTAGAACGAATAGTTGACTGCGTATTTCAGACCTTGTTATCTAATAGATTAGTCGTTCGAATGTCTTCACCTTCTACACTACTACTTCAATTTAAGATTAAAAGCATCTGGTTTATCGTTTACGAAGCATCAAAATTGTTGCTGATCATTTCGAATCTACAAAGATATGATAATCTGATAAAACCTAGATATTCTTCTCTCTTTTCAGATTTCCAACTGAGAATGTTACAAATAAGAGTCAAGTTATTTGTATTGCTTGTGTTGGAAGTTTTCTTATGTTCGCTTGCGGAAGATAAACTAAAGTTGACGCTGGATGAATTCGTCAATTATGTAGACTATCCAACTGTAAGTTTTTCGCCAACAGGTCAACATTTGCTCATTGTAACCTTGCAACCATTATGGGAGACCAATTCATATTCGTTCAGTTTATGGCTATATGATATTCAGCAACAACAAAAACGATTGATTACAAAAGACTTAAGCGGCTATATGGTACCCATGTGGTCGCCAAGTGGAAAATGGGTGGCATTTTTTATGAACAATAATCCAATCACAAACAGCTCTCGACGTTCGTTGGAAAAATTAGAAAGAACCGAACAACACATGTACTTCTATTCGGTTGCAACAGACAAACTCATGTCTGTTCAAATTGGAACTGTTCGACCTTTATTTGTCACATGGCCTGATGATGATAGATTTCTTTACTTTGTTGCAGCGGCAGTATGGTCAAAAGAAGAGGAGGATGTGCATAGAGCAGAATGGAAAGACGTGATTAATTATAGACAGAGTAAACCTGGTGAAGGAAGTGTTATCTATAGAATGGATATCGACACGAATAATCCAGTTCTATCTGCAAAAGTCAGCATTGTAGCGAATGTTTCCTTGCTCATCACCGAACTTTTGTATGTGCCATACGAACAACAGCTTGTTTTTACATCGAGAGGAAGAGCTTACGAAGATTTAGACGATTTCGAAATATATTCGATTCATTTAAATAGTTCATCATCATCATCATCATCATTATCAAGATTGACGTACATGGAAGGAGTTGAACAAGAATTACAATTATCAAGTGATGGTAAACATGTATTATTTCGTTTATGGGCTCTTAGTTCAGGTAAAGTTCAAACTACTCAACGACGACTCTATTCATTGGATTTAACCAACGGTCAAGTTGATCGACTAGGAAAAAACTTTGATGGTCTTGTCACACAATACACAGTTAAATCGGGCGGTGGTGTGTATATCATTGGACAATTGGGACTCAATGTCCAAATTTATACCCAAGAATCGTTGACAGATGACGCAATTTACCAACAAGGATGGAACGGAACCTATGAACGGTTTACTGCGTCTTCACATCGAGCAGGTGGTCCAGTTGCATTTGCTTTTTCATCTTCAGAACGACCAAAAGAGGTGTATTTAGCTGAGAGTATTGATCAACTTATGTCAGCCAAACCGATTACAAACGATAACGAATTATTTACACAACGAGTTTTACCTCAAGCAACGGCATACCACTGGAAAAATACGGCAGATAATCAAGTGATAGAAGGCGTTTTACACTATCCGCCGGGAAAATTCAATGCAAAAAATTTGCCTCTATTAGTTCTTATTCACGGCGGTCCAAATGTAGCCAGTCTAAATGAGCTTCAAGCCACTTGGAACTGGGCTACTATGGCTGCTACTGAAGGCTGGCTAGTCTTAGAACCTAACTATCGAGGATCAACGGGCTATGGCGACAAATTTCTTGGTGAAATTCGTCATCGATCTCTTTCATTACCTGGTCAAGACATTCTCATGGGAGTCGATCAACTGACGAAAGATGGCATTGCTGACTCGAAAAGGCTTGCCGTCGGGGGTTACAGCTACGGTGGTTTTCTGACGAATTGGCTCATCACTCAAACAACACGTTTCAATGCAGCTTTGTCAGGTGCTGGCGGCATTGAGCATGTTTCTGGTTGGGGTACTATGGATTTGCCATTACTGCGTAGTTATTTACACGGAGGTTTCCCTTGGGAAGTACCACAAGTCTACCAAACTGAATCTCCAATTTATTATATGAATAAAGTACGTACACCGACACACATTGTTGTAGGTGAAAATGATGTACGAGTCGATGCTGATCAAAGTTTTATTTTGGAACGTAGTCTTCACTATCTTGGAATACCTGTACAATTGTTAGTTTTCCCAAACGAAGGACATGCTATTGCAAATTTTCCTTGGAGTCGAAAAATTAAAGTTCGGGAAGAACTGAAATGGTTACAGAAATACGGGAATCAGTCACTATCGAGTGGATGTTCTGTAAAGATTAGGTCTCTTTTTATCATTTTTACATCATTATCAATGTTCATTTTAACGATTTACTTCTTTTAAAAATTGCTCTTTCAAGTATTTGAAAAGTGAACTCGTCTTTTGAAATAAATGAAAAGATTCGAAAGAACGAAATGTATGTCATGGCTATCTAAGCAAAAAATGATTATTTACGATAAAAAATCGATTAAGTAGTGAAGAGTTCTTTAATTCGGAACTAGAACAATATTGATCTTTTTCCAAACTATCTTGATAGAAGGTATTCTATAAATGAGAGGTTAATATGGATCAAACAAACGGATTCGATTAAAAAAGTTTTCAGTACAATTCGTGCGGGATTAAAAAATGACATGTAATGGAGCCATTTCAATTGGATATCGATATACTTCATACTTTTGTAACGATACCTCACGAGATGAATAGAGAATAATCTCCATTTGTCTATAAGATAGGTGTGGGTGTAGATGTAGGTGAAGAGAAGTTCCACAATCACCTAAATATTTCGGGTTACGCTGGTAGTTTTTAATTCTTCCAATCATCAGATTCTACCTGGCGCTACTGTAAACGCATAGTATTAGTCAAGTGCTATTTCATCACTGATATATAATATATTTATGGAGAATATCTTTCTACTTTTACTTAATTTTCGCTAATCATATTGATATTGAATAATCAAGAGACAAACCGAATGAATTGTACTCCAAGTATTAGCATATAGTTTGGACTCAATATACACATCTTATGATTGACTAATGAATGTGATTTTTTTGTAATAACAAACTCCAATATGCAATAAATCGATTGAGTATTGTGGAAGGATTTTTTCATGTTATCTATTAAGGATGTGTGAAGTCAGTTTATATATGAGTGTTGAAGAATGGCTAGAACAGTCAACCATAACTAGAATGAATCGATAGACAGACAAGGTGGCATTCCAAACTGTCATAGACATTATGATGATCGTTGAAAAACTCAATCATTTCAAGATACATAAGTGGAAAAGCGTGAATGAAAAAGGTGTCCACTCGAAAAAATTTTCAAATAGAATAGTAAATTTTGTTTTCATCAAAACTCGATTGTCTCAAAGGTCTTCTCTTACCTACTAGCATAATTGTATGTGTTACAATTCATGTACATATATGATGCGAAAAAAAATAAATAAAAAAACTAGCAGTTAATTGTTCATATAAACATAAAATACCAGTTACAACACTCTTCATAGAATGTCGAATGAGATACATCATTTAACTATTCTTCAATGAATAATTCATCAACAATAGTTTGCATTGAAGTATTAGTTAAAAATGCCTTGGCAATAATGAGTTCAGAACGTTGAAATTCTCTTCTGACCACA